TTGTCACTAGTTGCTATTGCATACGTGTGTGTGTGTGTGTGTGTGTGTGTGTGTAATATATATGTATTTCTAAATATAACCTGCTCAGTCCACATAGTGTTACTCGTATGTGTGTTTGGTAGTGGACTACCAAATGTTGTGTCTTTCCCAGAGGAAGACCATCTCTCCCTCTCCCAGCCCTTTTCAGTTGCTTATGGTCGGGCAGGGTTGAGGCTCCATGGGCTTTTCCCCATCCAGTTAGCCTGTCTGTGATGTCATCCTTGTTCAGTTCTTGTTTGTGCACATGATTCTGTTTATAAGTATATAATTTTATTGAACTTTTCTCATATGGGCTGATGGTGTTCTCTCCAAGAATCAAAATCCCCATAACAACAACTCAAATACCAGACATGAGAAGCCCCCTTTGGAGTTGTTAGCCAAGGCTGTCCAAGAGTTGCTGTGAATCTTTCACAGTATTATAAAACAGAGATTTGGGTGAGTAAAAACAAACAAACAACCAACCAAACAAAAAACTTAATGTCAAGGTCCTCCATCCTCTAGAGGAGAACCCTGAATTAAAAATGTATTATGGTTTCACCTGGACCTTTAAATATAGGCAGCAAGCCAGGCATTGGTGGCGCACTCCTTTAATCCCAGCACTCCGGAGGCAGAGGCAGGCAGATCTCTGTGAGTTCGAGGCCAGCCTGGTCTACAGAGTGAGTTCTAGGACAGTCTCCAAGACAATACAGAGAAACCCTGTCTCAAAAAAACAAAACAAAAAATATATATATATATAGGCAGCAACCAGAGGAAAGTCATCTCTTTTCTTTGCCATTGCACTAAACCACAATAGAGGTGTGGGAGACCTATTTGAAGGAAAGCCAGGGGAAGAATGAACGAAAAGAAAGCCATTGCTTTAAGAAGCGCAACTTCTGGAGCAGAAGACAGCCTGAAGCAATCCCTTGTGGTGAGCAGCCTCCACAGCAATGCTTTGTTGACACCTAAAGATAATGCGGAGTCAGTCACAGCTCTGACATGTGTCACGGCTCCAGGCAATAGACTCAGCATAAAGTTCACACTTAAAATGAAGCTAATTAGGGGAGCACCCACTTGAAATGCACCACTAAAAAAGGAGAGGGGGCACCATTAGGGCCACAATCATAACCAAGGGCCTCTGTCTGTACCCAGCATCTAGTCAGTGTCATTTTTGTAACCCAGTGAACCTGCCAGAAGACAACTGTGTCTAAGGGTACTGTGTTGCTGAGTGAGACAGATGCCTTTATCTGTGTTTTGAGTCATGAAAGGCAGACAAAAACAAACACAATCGGTGAGGCCCCCTGTTATTTTTAACTACACAGATGTTAGTACCTGAGGAACGCACTGAGAACTCTTTAAAGGGCTACGACCAGAGAGTCCTGCTTCTCTTCCAGCAGATCAGAGTTCGGTTCCTAGCTCCCATGTCGGTGACTCACAATCACCTTCAGCTCCAGCTCCAGAGATTATCTAGAGCCTCTAACCGCCTCTGGCTTTAACACATTCACACACCCTCACACGGACACACACAAATGTGCACCTAAAAATTCATAAAATAACCATGCCCTGTGAATATATATATATACATACATATATATATATATATATATATATATATATAACACAAACTGATCTTGTTTTTCTGCTGCCTGTTTGTTATTTGTTTTTTCTCTCTTTTTTCTGATCTTTATTTTTACTTTTCGGGATGGTCACCAGGGTGAAGGTAACCATGGAAGGACTGGAAGTGAGTATGATTGGTGTTCATGATGTGAAACTCCCAGAGAATCAATAACAATGTTATGTTGACAATAATAATAATAAAATAAATTTTAAAAGAGGTTGGGCCTGACCTGACTCACGTTTGTGCCCAAAAGTCATTTCTTCCTTTCCCCAATCCTGATGGCTGAATCTGGTTTGTCCCACAGTCCCTTTCATTCGGGACAGGCCAACCTGTTCACCAACCAGCTGGTAGAAACACACTCAGGTGGCAGCCTACCGCAGCCTGTGGCTTTAAACGGCTACTCACTTTAAGTTACTTACTTGAGACAATTAACCAGAACAGAACAATTACACAATCGGTTCTTGAGCTAATTCAAACCTCCAGGGAGGATTTAATGACAGTTCCAAAGAACTACACCTTCAGTGCAGAGAGGTAGGCATGAGACAGAAACTGCAAGAGAGCACAGAGAGCAAAGAATAAAAGGCCCGTCGCTGAAATATACAAACAATAACAAGACTTACCCATGTGACTGTGGCAAGTCTCCCCCTTCGCCATGTGGAGGATTCCTGGCAGAATGTGAGGGAAACTGGACTCCGCTGTCCCAGTTTCCCAAACCAAGGAAATAAAATGTTTCCCAAACTTTCAACTTCTCCCTTTCCAAGTACTAACCCGGCCTGACCCTGCTTGTTTCCTAAGCAGATGTGTCGGGGGTAGGATGACTGAAGACCAAACTCAGTTTTTGCCTCTGAAGACTATGCTCTAAGGATGGTGACCTGGGCTGGAGAGATGGCTCCATGGTCAAAAGTGCTCCCTGCTCTCTTGCAGAGGACCTGGCTTTGATCCCCGGCATCCACAATGCAGCTCACAGCCTTTTTTCCTGTAGCACCAGGTCCAAGGGATCCAAGGAGCTCTTCAGGCCTCCACAGGCGGCAGACACACAAGCATGCATGCAGGCAAAACACCCTTATACGTGGAAAACAGACAGGACGCAAAGAGGGAGAGGAAGCCACTCCCTAAAGTATCATGACCACAGGTCTGCACCACTGCGCCCAGCTTAATTTACTCCCCATCATGAACGATTAACACCTCCTGACTTTTTTAAATAATTCATTTCATTTCATTTTATGCTTATTGGTGCTTTTGCCTGCATGGTCTGTATGAGGTGTCAGGTCCCCTTGGAATTGGAGTCACAGACAGTTGTGAGCTGTCATGTGGGTGCTGGAAATTGAACCTGGGTCCCCTGGAAGAGCAGTCAGTGTTCTTAACCACTGAACCATCTCTCCAAGCCACCACCAGTCTTTTTTAATCAAATTTTTCTTTGAAATTTCGAAACTGTATATAATGTATTCTTACTTTCTTATTATTCTCTTCCCATACTCTCTCTTACCTCCCATCTCTGTGTCACCTTCCTCCTCCCAACCAAGGGTTGTGAGTTTGGGCTTGCTCTGTTTAGCCAAAACCATCTGTGTGGATTGAAACTATCCACGGTAGCCTGCACTACACTACCGATCTTAACTTTTTCTTTTCAGGAGCTTCAAAAAAGAGTGTATTAACAGGCTATGGGAAACATACTCTCTTCTCTCTTGGGTTTTCTGACAGCCAGCTAACATGAGCAGCAATCATGCAATGTGGTTAGTGACGAATGGGGGTGCAGGCTATGGTTTCTGTCTTGTTATTTTCCTGGTGTTGATTTGTGTCCTGTGCTGACATCATTCTAGAGATTACTATCGGAAGGACTCACAGACAACAGAAATGACTATACTGGTAATAGCATACTGAAAAAAAGTGAACAATCGCCACCTATTTTTCTGCCAGCTAAGAACGTTGTCCCTTGTGGTGTTCATAATAAAAAGGTTTACACACAGAATATTGCTATGCCCACATGCTTCCTTATGCAAATAAGCACAATTCTGGGTACTTTTTATAGGCTTAAGCTAGCTAAAATCGGGTATGCTCTTCAGTTCTTGCTTCTCATTTGTTACTGAGACTTGCTGAAGAACCAGATAAATTCTTAGCAGATTTTTTATTCATGAAGTAATACTTAAAGAGTGTCTACTTATACTTATGTAAGATCCAACCCACCTAGTTACTGTATATGATGCTAAATGCATGCTTCAGCCAGAAAGAGACTTTTCTAAGAATTTGAATTTCTTGGAACGCCCTTCTACCGTCTCATTGTGTAGTCTTTAATGGGTTTGGAGAAGCGGTTTTAATTGACCCTGTGTTTTCCGATCTTAAATTCTGTTTTTAGGAGAAAGTCAATAATTAGGAAATGGTTGTTTCTCCTCAAATAAGCCGAACAAACTATAAACCAAAGAATAAGGAAACGCAAATAGAGAAACAAACAAAAGAAAAGAGGCAACGCCTGGAAAATCTATTTATTTGCTTGACTTTCAAGTACCCTTCTTATTCTGCAGGTGAAGTTGTCCACCAGAAATCTACCAGGAAGGCGGCAGTTGCTCAGTCCACACTTGTTTCAGAGCTCAGAAGTCCTCCTGAAAAAGAATGCTCTCCCCAGTAAACAGTCCCCCTCCACTAAGTCACAGGTGTACCAGTGGCCACGTCTCTCCAAGGCCCCAAGACTCTGCCACCTAAGCCAGGAGAAGTTGCAGTTCTGTGTCGCTTGCCTTCCTCTCCGCCCCCGCTTTGGTGCCCTATTGAGGGCAGCTAGGACACTGCCAAGTAACTCCTTTTATGGTGAGAGGATGGATTCTTCGTCCTCTCCCCGCCCAAGCCTGGTACCTACCCACCCATCCACCCACGCGTCTGCCAAGTCCCACCCGGAGCGCTCGGACGTACACACCCACGCACAACCACACACCCACTTCTCCTCTCCGCCCTGCCGCTCCGGTCTAGAGTCCTAAAGCAGTTGTCCCGGCATCCCAAGAGCTACATGCTAGGTTCGAAGGTGAAAGGTGAGAGAATTAATCCCCTCCACCCCGCAGACCGATTTAGACACTGGTCCCAGCATTATCCCCACTAATACCCAGCTCAGGAGTGGCAAAGCGCGTTCAGGGACTTCCCTGGGGCTCGACCCGGGCGCTCTCGGTATGTCTGAAGGAGGGAAAGCACTGGAGCTGTCCCCGCTACCCGGTGGCACCCCTCAGTTCCCTCCAGACCTCCCCAGGCTCTCCGCTCCGCCCCCTATCACCAGGTTCCCGGGTGGTGCCATAAGAAGACTCGCTCCGCCCCCTTTCCAGGTCAGCCAATGGGCGCCCGGGCCGCGCGCTGACTGTCTCCGCCCCTGCCACAGAAACTTGCGGGAGGAGAAAAGTTTGAACAGTCTGCAAGGGCAAGAGCGGAGCTCGAAACCCGGCAGCGGGAGAGGAAGATGCACAGCCCCAGGTCAGAGCCCCAGGCCCAGGGGACCCCGAGCCTCCCCCAGAGCACAAGGAGCGGCCTCAGCGGCAGCCGCCTGCTCCGGTAGCTGTCCGTTCAGCCCGCGGCTAGGAAGGAGGGAGCCCGGACCTACGCTCCGCTCCACCTGCGCGCGTGGCCGCACACCTGGACGCTGACTTGCCGCTCCAGACCTGCGGACTCTGCAAAGCTGAGACTCGCCTTTGAAAGAAGGAGAGGGTAAAGCAAACAAGACACCCGAGACTCATCTTCCCTTGAGCCTCGCTTGCTTTCTAAGCTTTTTGAAAGCTCGATCCACTGACCTCAGTTCCGGAAAGTTGGCAGTCTCCGAGAGCCGGTTCCGAGGGGAGCAAAGGCTTGACAAGTTCCGCACTGAGTGGGAAGAGACTGATGGCCGAGGTTAGAGGCAGATCCAGATCGTCTGAGGCCTGAGCCTCGGGGCGCACCGAGCTCCTAACCCCACCCTACAGGTAAGTCGGGATGGAGGTCTTTGCGTGGCAGTGGCCAGGCTCTTTCGGGGAATCAAAGAACAGAATGTGCTTCCCAAATCGTCCATAACTTGTTTCAATGAGAATTTTATTGACTCTGTCGGGAATATCACTAGCGAGTCACTTTTCCCTTGAGAAGGGTCTTGCTCATCTTGGCGATGGAATGAGTGTGGGGGGAGGGTAGGCGGGAACGGCAGTTATCAGCTTATAAATATTAATGTCAGCAGAGTGGTGCTCTTAGCAGGACGTTTTCAGAGCTTGGGGATTTGAGTTGCCACAGTTAGTGAGTGGCTACAGATCAGGAAGTCGGATCCGGTTGCTCTTCCCTGTCTCACCGACGTAGCATTTTGGACCATGGATCTAACACCTTGCAAGTTGTAAGTGGTTCATCTCTCCCTTTCCTCTCTCTCTCTCTCACCATCCGTAGACCGAACCGTGAGCCCCAAAGCTGTGTGCTACTGAACACCATCATGTCCAGTCCCGGGGTCAATGCATCCTTCTCCTCCACTTCGGAGAGGCTGAACAGCCCAGTGACCATTCCGGCTGTGATGTTCATCTTCGGGGTCGTGGGCAACCTGGTGGCCATCGTAGTGCTGTGCAAATCGCGCAAAGAGCAGAAGGAGACGACCTTCTACACTCTGGTATGTGGGCTGGCTGTCACTGACCTACTAGGCACGTTGCTGGTAAGCCCAGTGACCATCGCCACATACATGAAGGGCCAATGGCCCGGGGACCAGGCACTGTGTGACTACAGCACCTTCATCCTACTCTTCTTTGGCCTGTCGGGTCTCAGCATCATCTGTGCCATGAGCATTGAGCGCTACCTGGCCATCAACCACGCCTACTTCTACAGCCACTACGTGGACAAGCGGCTGGCCGGCCTCACCCTCTTCGCGGTTTATGCATCTAACGTGCTGTTCTGCGCACTGCCCAACATGGGCCTGGGCAGGTCTGAGCGACAGTACCCCGGCACCTGGTGCTTCATCGACTGGACCACCAACGTAACGGCCTACGCCGCCTTCTCTTACATGTACGCGGGCTTCAGCTCCTTCCTCATCCTCGCCACCGTGCTCTGCAATGTGCTGGTGTGCGGCGCGCTGCTCCGCATGCACCGCCAGTTCATGCGCCGCACCTCGCTGGGCACCGAGCAGCACCACGCGGCCGCCGCGGTCGCAGTGGCTTCGGCAGCCTGTCGGGGCCACGCGGCCGCTTCTCCAGCACTGCAGCGCCTCAGCGACTTTCGCCGCCGCAGGAGCTTCCGGCGCATCGCGGGCGCGGAGATCCAGATGGTCATCTTACTCATCGCCACCTCCCTGGTGGTGCTCATCTGCTCCATTCCGCTCGTGGTGAGTGTCTGGGGTCCACTTAGTTCTCCTGCATCCACCTCTCTCCCCTCACTCCCGGCTCTCTCCCTGATTCCTTGGCGGTTACAGTTTCCTCCAGGTCTGGACTGGTTCCTGCTCAAGGCTCCTCTGAGCAGACCCAGGCTTTCCTTCTAAGTCCTGACTCTAAGGAGACTTGGCAGATGATTTTCCCCTTGGGGCCCCGAGGTTTTTTTTTCTTCCCCCCGAAAGCATGGGTTCTGCGGTACCCTGGGCAGCCCCCTGAACTCCCCCTAACAGCCTGATGTTTTGCTTTGCATCTTCCCAGAACCCTGACTGCTGGCTCAGTCAGATGGCGGATGGGGACAGCTCACTAGAATGTTACTTACTCTAGGGCTCCACTCTGTGGCCCCCAGAGCCTGCAAGACAGGGGTGATAAGCCCTGTTGAATTCATCCTTAGGAGAGTGCAGGTTTGGGTGTTTTGGTTTCTGTAAGCCGTTTTGTTTTTCTAAATTATACGGCATTTTAAAGCTAGAATAGATGAGATGTTTTTATTTTAAAGCCTGACTCAGGAGTCATTTCACGGAAGAGAAAGAGTGACTTGCTTAGAAAAACCTTGCAGACACATTCAAGCTGCTTCCCACCCCTCCCTCAGCTCCCCCACACACACACACACACAAAACCATGTCATGCCCGAGAAGACGCTTGAACAGGGTAATGTCTAAATTCAAGTTCCTTATTCTTTTCCCAAGCCAAGAAAACACGGGGGCGTCGGGAGGTATGGACAAGTTGATATGCATCGGGTGTTGCATTTTAATTCTCAGTGGTGAGGAGAGGTGCGGTTTCTCCTTTATGGAGACGGTTCCCCTTAAGTCACCAGGCTACAGTACAACAGTCTCTTCCAATTCGGGCTTTTGAGGAGTGTCCGCTGATGTCTTGGTGCACTTCACACTCGTTGAGGTTGCCTTTAGTAACACTTAAAATATAAACGGAGAGGCGCAAAGGCCTCCGAAGTTCTCTGCTGTTACCTGTTCTTGGTAGAATTCACTAGCAACAGGTCGGTGGGAGAACACCATTGTTCATCTAGAATGTATCTTGCTCCAAGTTCTATCTCTCAAAATACTGAGTTCCTGGAAATTCTAAACTGCCTATTCAAAAAGAAATCACTATCTATGTTCATTGGGAGCAAATGGAAATAAACTTAATGGGCTAGTATTCTTTTCTTTCTCATATTAATACTACGAGAGATCTTTGACATAAAAATGTTTTTATCTCTTACAGCAGTGACTGTAAATGGAAGAAACTTAGTGGTGGCGGAGAGCCAGCATACAGAAGCTTCTTGCCAATTTGTATAAACAGAAGTAAATATGACTGGCCAGAAGGGCCTTTAAGCCACCCCAGAACCTAATGTAATTTACAGAGTTAGGTCACACTTGAGCCACATAAATATATTTTACTGTCTGTAATGTCAACTCAAAATAAAGTGAGAGTTGGAAGGGGAGAACCGTTTTCTGCTGAGGCTTCTAACCTCTCTGCCTTATATTTTACGGGACAGTAAATGACAAAGTGAGTAGTTGTAATTTACAGGATGTCCACTCCATGGAACTGAGGAATCGGTGCTAGGCCATTAGTAACCATGTACATACTTTCTAAATGTTTTGGTTAGAAGTGAGCATGTGATGACACTGATTCCCATGGAGCCACCAATACAGTGTTCTCCGTCATCTGGCGAGGCACACAAAACTAATTCTATGGGCCGACCTGGCCCTCAGGTTCAGGGCCACTTATGACAAAGTCTGAAATTATGTGAGGACCGGGAGCTATATTTATGGCTGGCATGTTAATCACATTTTAGTCAAAGAAAAATACTGTCCAGGCTAAAGAAAATCAGAGCCAGGCATCGATGTTAAATATGCTCTATTTGAAAGCTGAAACTGACTTGACTGAGGGGTAAACATGTTGGTCAAGAGCCTGAATGCTTTCATGAGAAATAACTAATCAAATAAATAAGAGTAGCTTCAGATTTTAGCCTTGAGTTTAAGCTACAAAAATAAAAATAAAAATCTTTTTCAGAGGTCAGTTTAAATTGAAACTTGTAACAAGGAATGGGGAGCCTTAGGACCCATGTAACCCCCACAATTCAGTCATTATTGAAGTGATCGAAAGGAATTTTCGCAGTTGCCGTCTTTCTTGGCTTATTTTACATTCCCGCCCCCACATTTCTCATATATTCAGGGAATAAGGGAGATTAAAGCTGTGACAGCTCCCCGACGGTTAAGGCAGTTGGGCACTCTTTCAGTTCAAAGGCAAGACGAAGCACCTGCTTTACCATTATTGAATAAGATCGAGTGCTAATTCCTCTAGAGGGAAATGAACCCCTCTGAGTCATTTTCAGGACTTTCGGAAGGCTACCTGGCAGAGCAAACACAGCCTGTTTAGATTTCCAGAGAGCTACACACAGCATAAAGAGGGAGGACAGCCAGCTACTGCAAAGCAGGCAAGAGTCTTGTCTTTTGGTCCTGTGGGAAGAGGCTGGATTAGCTCTTTCAGGATGGTTGGTCCTAAATTTAATATGAAAAAGTACAGTTTAATTTGTTTTGCAAAATGGAGCCAAGGCTGGAAAACTAAAGTTGAGGCAGCCTGCGAATTCCATTGTGGACATAATGAATGTGGCAAATCTGCAGAATTCTCCACGGGTCACAATCAATGAACAGAGGAAGTATAAGCAGACTACAGCACAAGGAACATTTGATAGGAATATGGCTTTTGTCATTTCATCCTTTCTGCTATTTATAACTGGTCTTGGAGTTGGGTTGTATTTTTTTTTCTTTTCAAAGCAGGAGAAGCTAAAGAAATGAAAGCACATGCTTAAGATAAATATCTTGCATTCTTTAGAAACATGCAATCAGCATGAACTCCTAAGGACACCATATTAAGTACTGTAACTAGATCGATTTCTGATACTTAATTTTGCAGCTATAATACTAATGTTGAGAGATAGGTTCTAATCAGATCTTTTGCCTCAGGGTTAAAGAGCTAGAGTGTCAAGTTGGGAAAGGCATTTCCCTCCCCACGCAGGCAAGCCAAGGACAAATTTATTGCTTATTTGTTCCTTTTCTTTCTTCTTCCTCTGAGCTACCAGTAGCATGGCAAATTAATTACTCTTCTGCCTTGGTCAGGGAAAGAATTTTCTGTGTTTCTTTGGTTGTTTACTGCAAACAAGTTGTCGCTATAGAGGCACCAACAACAGCTTATAAAAGCAGATGAACTGTAAAGAGGAACATGTTTTGTAGAAGGCCAACCGGAAGTGGGCCCCCTAAACGATCATATGAGCAGAAAGCGTGTGCACAGGTAAAAGTAATGTGATTAATTTAGATGCCACCACAGTGAGATCACAGACATTCGATCACTTTTTTAATAAATGTGGCTATGTTTTTAAAAGAACTGCAATCCCTAGAAGCAATTTTTAATCACAACTTGAAATGGCAGACCTCTTAGAAGGACCTGGGTAACTGCAGAGTAGCACATAAAAACAATTTCACCAAAGCCAGCAGCTTGTGGAATCTTCTCTGTGGAGTGGTCTTGTGTTTCTAAGCTTTCCGTGCCTCAGTTTCCCAAGCCGCAGATGAAGAACTGCCACTAACTGGGTCGCTGGGAATGCACCCTTCTCCAGTTCTTCTCACCATCTTACTGACATCTCAATTTTTGGTTTTATTAGACATTTAGAACAGGACAGTTTTCTCCTCTGGAGCTGAAGTGTTGAGGCTATGAATTAGGAGGGAGGAACAAAACCTTCTAAGATAGATTTACAATGTAGATACTAGCCACTAGGGATGAAGTAACTTGCATGCAGTGGATGGCCAGTTAGTGATCTAGAAGGAACACAAAATACAGACTCTTATGCCACCACTCAGTTAAGGACATTTTCCATTACTCGTTATTTAAAAGGAGGGTGGTAAGAACTTGTAGTAGCAGCTGTGTCAATTCTGGACTCTTCACAAGGCAATGAGATAACAGAGTACACACAGACAATTCCTTTCATGTGCTTGGAACAGAACAAGTAGCCCACACGCTCAAATCCAGTTTCAGATCCTGCCATTTACTGGACAGCATTTCAATTCAGACAAACAGTTACTGCATTGGTCTAGTCAAGAGTTCAATGTTTCAGTTCAACATTCTCTTCAAACAGATTATTACTAAGTGGGAAGCACACATTTTTTTTCAAGACAGAGTTTCTCTGTGTAACAGCCCTAGCTATCCTGGAATTCACTTTGTAGACCTGACTGGCAGAAGTACACATTTTTAATAGCAGTCATCAACGATACCTCAAAGCTACCTTTTACCTGCAGTTATCAGTGTAGCCCAGATATGTGGCAAAATATATGTTAAATTCTAGGCACTATACTAAGCACTTAAAGAATTTATGCACAGCCTGAACTGGTGGGCACTCACCTTTAATCCCAGCACTAGGGAGGCAGAGGCAGGCAGAGCTCTGTGGATTCCAGACCATCCTTATCTACACAGCGGGTTTCAGGCGAGACAGAGCTACATAGAGGGACCCTGTCCCAAAACAAAAAAAAAAGCAAAAAACAAACAAACAAACAAACAAACAAAAAACCTTTATGCATAAATGGTAAATTCCACAACTAAAATATGGAGTTTGTTTGGTAACAAATCTTGGGCACTTTTCACACCACCATATATCCTCCCATGAACTTTCCTGCAAGCATACCTTCTAGTTTTTATTGAACCCTCTCCCAGTCCTATTCCAGAGTCCCTAAGCTTAATGTCTAATCAGTCTTAAGAAGTTGAAAATCTACCGGGCGGTGGTGGCGCACGCCTTTAATCCCAGCACTCAGGAGGCAGAGGCAGGAGGATCTCTGTGAGTTCGAGGCTGGGCTGGACCGACAGCCTCCAAAACAATACAGAGAAACCCTGTCTCGTAAAAACCAAAAAAAAAAAAAAAAAAAAAAAAAGAAGTTGAAAATCTTGGAATCATTGCCAATATCAGGCACAAGTTATATTCACCAAGTCTGCAGTTGCTCATCGTCAAAAGGGAAGAAAGTTAGGAGTCTTGTTTGTATCCAGTAAGGTTTTGAGACTTTTACCCTCGCTGACTCAGAGGTTCTGTTTTATCAGCAACACATGCTTCCATAACTGCAGACCGTCTGAACTTATTTATTTATATAACATCTAGGCCTTGCTGGAGGAGGGTGGAGAAAAGTACTGCTGTGGGCATTCCTCCTCAGCTTGTCACTACTCTTCAGGGACAGGAAAGCAAGTGGTGTGTGTGTGTGTGTGTGTGTGTGTGTGTGTGTGTGTGTGTGTGTGTGTGTTTTGTTTATCATTTTGTTGATGATAATGATTGGTTGGTTGGTTGGTGGATTGGTTGCTTGGTTGGTAGGTTTCTTTTTCAAGACAGGGTTTCTAGGTGTCCTGGGACTCACTCTATAGAGCAAATGGCCTTGCAAGTGGAACCAGAGCCGCTGTATTTTTTTCAAACGTTATAAAATGCCTCAAGTGTGGGGTTTTGTTTCTTTTTCCTTACTCTACTTGAAACTAAACTGAGAATAGGAGGCCAAGTCAAGCCCATCCACTTGAATTCTCTGAAAATAATTGGTTGACCTCTGAGATCTGTATGAACTTAGAATTGGGGTGTGTGTTGAATTTATTCTGAAGGTGGGGGATTCAGCCCAAGGCTTTCTGCATTCCGGCCAAGTGCTCTCTCCCCGTGCTGTCACTCAAGCCCGGATGCTGTGCTCTGTTCTCATCCATATGCTACCCCATGAATACTCCTCTATAGGAGACACGAGGTGATGAGATCCAGGGCCTTGTGACAATTGTAAGCACCCATGCAACTCTGAAATAGAACTTCATTCCTTTCTATAGTAGTCAAATTTAATGATAGCTGCAGATAAAATGAAACCCAAAGGTGATTTCTTCCTTGCTCCTTGTTAGTTTTGATCGTAAAAACATGTCGTTAATTTTTCATGACATTGACTTTTTAAAGTATCACAGAAATTTAAAAACAAGATGTGAATTGCTTTAAGGAGCTACAGCCTTTTTTTGTCTTAACTGTTCAGGACTTTCCTCTTTTCAGGAGTAACTGTGTTTCCTTTGAGGCTGTGGTGGAGAACCAGCTAGCAGAGAAATATGTATATATAATTCAAAGTTAAAACTTAACCAAGATTCTATTCTGAAAGCTTCTTGGAAAATACCTATGCAAAAGACATCCCAAGAGATGGAGGTGCTAGGCACTCCAGAGTAGAGCAACACTGCCCTCTAGAGGCGTGAAGTGTCAGGTTCACACAAACCCGGCAATGGGGCTTGTTACTGAGCAGGTTCTTGTGAAATGTGAGTAAAAATACAGACCGTAATATTTTCTAGTGATGACCTCGTTACTAAGAATAAATTTTAGACAAAAATCCAGCCTGGTAGAACAATAAAAGCCATGTGAAATTCATCTGGAAACTAGACCTGATCATCAATAGGATGGGAGAGAGCTCCTGTTTATCCCTGCACTTGGGGAGCTGAGGCAGGAAGGATGGCCAACCTAGTAAAGAATTAATCTCTCTCTCTCTCTCTCTCTCTCTCTCTCTCTCTCTCTCTCTCTCTCTCTCTCTCTCTCTCTCTCTCTCTCTCTCTCTCTCTGTGTGTGTGTCTGTCTGTCTGTCTCTCTCTGTGTGTGTGTGTGTCTCTCTGTCTCTGTCTCTCTCTTACACACACACAGAGAGAGAGAGAGAGAGAGAGAGAGAGAGAGAGAGAGAGAGAGAGAGAGAGAGAGAGAGAGAGAGAGAGAGAGAGAGAGGGCAACAAACACATCAGCTGAGAAAAGAGGAGGAACTCACTCGGCTCCCGTGGACCAGTAAGAACTTTGGTAAAGATTGTATTTGGAAGGAAGAAACCGAGATACTTTGCGAGTATGCTTGTTCTTCCAGCTTTAGAAGCACAGGGAAGGGGTTGCTTCTCATTAGAGTTGTGCAATAATCGCTGGATTCAGTTGAACACTGTCTGAAAAATGCCCAAAAGTATGGCTCGCGAGGAGCTACGGAAAGTTTTTTAGCAGCTAAACTGCACATAGCACAAATACTTCAGAAATATTCTGGGCAGTTTGGAGGAGGGAATGCAGGTGGAAATGTTATCTGAGTGGCTACTGCAATGTTATTATCTCCCATTAGAAATGTTGAGGAAATGGATTAGGAAAAAAGTCTGGGTTCAAGAAACAGTAACACAAGATAATTATTATGGAGAGTGGGGAGTACCATGGAGGAAATCTATGCTCTGGTCATTCTGGCTAACAGGAGACACTGATGTTGGTTCAAAAGTACAAAGTATTTTCTCTGAATGTAAAGGCATAGGCGTCTCCGTATTTTGTAATTACACGGTTAATTGACTTACAGAATGAGTCTCTTTTAAAACATAGTAACTGACTTATGTAAGCTGCCGTTGCAAAGTAGGCATTACCACATAAGAGCAGCTACGTCACGTCAAAGGTAAAAGCAACACTTAAAGTGTTTTGCCAAATGGCTTAATTATTAAAATCTCAACATGGGCCTCTGGTTTGTGCAGGTGCGAGTGTTCATCAACCAGTTATATCAGCCAAGTGTGGTGAAGGACATCAGCAGAAACCCCGATTTGCAGGCCATCAGAATTGCCTCCGTGAACCCCATTCTGGACCCGTGGATCTATATCCTTCTGCGGAAGACTGTACTCAGTAAAGCCATAGAGAAGGTCAAGTGCCTCTTCTGCCGCATAGGCGGGTCCGGCAGAGATGGGTCGGCACAGCACTGCTCGGAGAGTCGGAGGACTTCTTCGGCCATGTCGAGCCACTCTCGCTCCTTCCTCTCTCGGGAACTGAGGGAGATCAGCAGCACATCTCAGACTCTCCTCTACCTGCCAGACCTAACTGAAAGCAGCCTCGGAGGCAGGAATTTGCTTCCGGGTGTGCAGGGCATGGGCCTGACCCAAGCAGACACCACCTCGCTGAGAACTTTGCGAATATCGGAGACCTCGGACTCCTCCCAGGGCCAGGACTCAGAGAGTGTCTTGCTGGTGGATGGGGTCGGTGCGAGCGGCAGGGAAGAACCTGCCTCTAAAGGAAACTCTCTGCAAGTCACCTTCCCCAGTGAAACGCTGAACTTATCTGAAAAATGCATATAGTAGTTAAAGGGTTCGGGGGAGCATTGTCTTGGGAACTTGATGAAATCCTGTGCAATAGACATACACGTGTTTAGCTGTACTCAGAAGGGCTGTCTTCATCTGTGACTCCTAGTAGAGACCATTCGAGCATGAATACTCTCCAGTGCGGCAGATGAGTCCCTTGAGTGCCCAGGTCTGAAGCATGCTGGCAGCCACTCTGATGTGACTGGCACGTTGCAGCTTTTTCCTACTGGATAGGAAAATGGCAAAAGCTATGCTATTTCCGTAACATCCGACCTTTCGATTGGGCACATACCCGAGGTCCGGATACTGGAAGGGCTCTACCCCAAACTCTAAGGACTATCTTACATTTGATTTAAGTGTCTCACTAAAGCATGAAATGTGAATTTTTATTGTTGGAAATGTAATTTAAGGTATTTATGTTCTTCTCTGTGAGAAGGTTTATTGTTAATACAAGGTATAAGAAAATTATGATAAGCCCTCTCCTGCCAATATAACCAGCTAATATTGTCAATATTATTTTTTTCACTAAACAAGCCAGGCCAAAGTATTGAAAAGAGTGAAACTAATATCTATAAAATAGATATAAATTTTTAAGAGTTTAGTACTATCAAAAGAAAAATATTATTTAAGATGTGAAAATTAAACAATCTAAAATATATTTTCCAAGCTATCTATAATAATGAAAAATTAGAAACATATTTTATTTATCCAGGAAACTGTGATTCAGGAGTACATAACATTGCTGGTAAATATCTCCAACCTTCGTCCCCACTGATTGGTATTTTTAAAGTTGTAACATACATTTTTAAAGTCTCTAGCTACCCATCATTGAAGTGTGTAATATAAGAAGTCCAAGTAGCTTGTTCTGTCCTGAAAGCCTGTGTAGTTTTACTTGCCATCAGAATGTCTGACAGCATCCTTTCTGATTTAAAGAGGAAGACGGCTCTCTGGTGTGGTCCCCACTGTGTGGTGTGTGCCAAGAGACACTGACAGTCTTCTGTGACACCCAGTAATACTGTCCCTGTGTTTGGAGGCGCTTTCTTTCTCAGAGAAACAGTAATACTGTCCCTGTGTTTGGAGGCGCTTTCTTTCTCAGAGAAACAGTAAGCATGTTTTGTTGCTTAACGTGTTCTTGTGAACTGCTTGGTTGTGACTGAATACTGAGCCTGATACTGATAAGGGTTAACGAGTAGTTGAACCGACTGAAATTATTCTGGATATTACAATAAATAATTGCATTCCATCTGAGTTCCATAGTCTCAATTTTGGAAACCTTGTATGGGGTTTTTTGCTGCTGTTTTGTTTTGAGGTATCTTCTATATCCTTTTAAACTGAAAGATTTTTGTTGTTGTTTGTTTTTGTTTTGTCTGAAGCTTGAAGACGCTCTTATTAGATTTTAAAGAAAAACTCCATGGCGGTAAGTTGTAAATCTCACCAGCTGACAGAGAAGGACAGAGAGAGAAGGGGCCACGGCATTTCAGCTGAGTGGGCATGGAGGTCAGACACATGGCAGACAAGCAGCCACACACGGTAGGAAGAAGTGATTCCAGAGAAAGGGAGACCAGCGTACCAGAAAAAGCACACTCCGGCTCTAGCTAGCATCTGAAAGTGAGACAGAAAAGATAAAAAAGGAAAAGTTTTGCTAAATTCAACTAAAAAAATGCATCCATCATTAATGTCCAATTCCCAAACATTTTCATCATTCTAAGAAATGACAAGCCATTTGCAATCAGTCCACCTGTCCGCAGCCCTAACCCAACAACCAGTATGTTTATTAATTTCTCTATCGTGAACGTTTTATATGAGGGAAACAATGCAGTAACCGGTGTTTTTGTTGGCCATCTTTGTGTTAGAATAACATTCTCATGGTCTGTTGATATGGCAACATTAATCAATACTTTATTCCTTTTTACATCTGAATCATATCCCATGAAATGGACATACGACTGAATTGACCAATGTGGCATTGATCTCAATTTTTAGCTATTGTAAATGCTGCTGCTAAGACCTTTTTGTGCACGTTTTTAAGTCTTTTGGGCTCGTAACTGGGAATCAAATTGCTGGGGTCATATATTAATTTTAAATTCAGTATTTTGAGGCACCGTTTAACTGTTTTCCCCATGACTATAGCATTTTACATTCCCACCAGCAATGTATAAGACCTTGATTTTTCAATAACTTCACAAAATTTATTAATGTATTTTATTATAGCTATCTAATGTGTGTGAAGTTGTTTTGCCATATGTTTCTAATGACTAATGACATTTTAAAAGTATATACATATAGTTACTAGTTTTATATTTTAGGGAAATGTCCATTGAAGGTCCCCCCGCCCCATTTTTAGTGGTTAATAAGGCTATGATAATTTGTCAAGGCTGTCACAGACTGGATAGCTTAACCAATGGAAATTTATTTTCTCAGGTTTCTATTGGCTAGAAGTTCAACTTTAAGGTATTGGTGGGGTTGGTTTCTCTTGAGGCTTCCCTTGTTGGTGGTTTATACAGTCTTCTCAGTCTGCTCACACATGGCCTTTTATTTCCATGTTGTATGGACATCTTTGTTCACACATGCACTCCATTATAAAGACACCAGACATACTGGAGAGGACCTCACCCTTGATATCCTCCCTGTAAAAGCTTTATCTCCAAATACAGTCATATTAAGGAAGTTTAACTGCATATCCCCAATGACTAATGAAAGTATATACTAGGTTCAAAAATACATTAAATTGTGTATCTGTCAACATCTCTGCCATTCATTCATTCATCCATTCATTCAATCAGTGCCTTGCCTTGCCATTATCTCCAGTTCCCACCATCGAAGAAGGGAACAGAAGAGGTCACTAAACTTACCTGTGCCTTAAACAACACTCACAATATCAACAGGTACACTGTTCCTCTCCTTTCCTGAGAAGAGTAAAGCAGAATTTAATACAAAGGAAGACCGAGCGGAATCCCATGTATGATGAAAGCGCCCAGTAACCTCCTGCAGCAGGCTGAGAGCACAGTGCAGTCAGACGGCAGCTGGAGACAACTCTAGGCCATAGCTAAGATTTGTTTTTCCAATGAGCAGAAAACAAAATTTGTTTTATTTTTATGAAAAGATCTAATTTAGTTCCCAAACTTGATCTAAACAGTTGCTGTAAAGCCACAATTCAAAAATTTATTGAATTTATGAGAGCAAATACAATATTTTTTATTCTTTTTTTTATTTTTTAAACAATCTTGTTTTACATACCAATCATAGTTCCCTCTCCTATTTTACATACCAATCACAGTTCCCTCTCCCCCCTGTCATATCCCCCCTCCCATCCACTCCTCAGAGAGGGTGAGTCCTCCCATGGGAATTCATCAAAGTCTGTCACATCTTTGAGGACAAGGCTAAGACCCTCTCCCCTGTATCTAGGCTGAGCAAGGTATCCCTCCATAGGCAATGGGTTCCAAAAAGCCAGTTCATGCACTAGGAATAATTAATGGTTCTACTGCCAGCAGCCACATAAACTGTCCAAGCACCTCAATTGTCACCTACATTCAGGGGGCCTCGTTAAGTCTTATGCAGGTTCCCAAGCTGTTAATCTGGAGTCAGTGAGGCCCCACTTGCTCAGGTCAGCTGTTTCTGTGGGTTTCCCCAACATGGCCCCTTTTACTAATCGCTCCTCCCTCTCTACAACTGGACAACAGGAGTTCAGCCCAGTCTTAGCTGTGGATCTCTGCATCTGCTTCCATCAGCTACTAAATGAAGGCTCTAGGATGGCATTTAAGGTGACCATCAATCTCATTATAGGGGAAGGGCATTTAAGGTAGCCTCTCCACTACTGCTTAGATTCTTAGTGGGAGTCATCCTCATGGATTCCTGGGAATTTCTCTAGTGCCAGGTTTCTTGCTAATCCCCTAATGGCTCCCTTTATCAAAGTATCTCTTTCCCTGCTCTCCCTCTCTGTCCTTCCCCAAACTCAACCTTCCCAATTTTTTAAGGTAGATTGTTTGATATGTAGCGTTACTAGGAGGAAAATTATAAATTCATTAAAGTCAGTCAAGATGCTTACTGACTCCAGGAAAAACAAAGAGGGGTCCAAGAATGGAAAGATAAATATGAAATACCTAACTCAACTATATGTAGCAATTATATACAGGTTGAACCAAATCATAATGAATTCCATGGGAGACAGTTAATATATACCATAAGCAAGAAAAAGCAATAATTTCTTAACTGTTAGAAATGATTAAAAACCCGGTAAGATCATCAAAAGTCAGAGAACACCAAGTACACTTTAGAAAATCTTCTACACTGTTGGTAGCAGCACAAAATTAATACAACTTGCATAGTAATTTTTGGAACTGAAATATACCAAAAATGTCTTAACACTTGGCTTTATAAGATACAACAAATCTAGACAGTTCACTGGTCACCAATGGAGAATGCTAGGGAGCCAACTTACGATTTTTAAACTTTAAATAAGAAATACTTGTGTAGATTAACATGCACAGAACCAGAGGTCATCACATTAAGTAAAGTAAGCTAGATTCAGTAAGACAAATACTGGCTTATTGTTTTCATATGCAGACTCTAAACTGTGTGTGTGTGTGTGTGTGTGTGTGTGTGTGTGTGTGTGTGTGTGTGCACGCATGCAATTTCTGTGTGTAGAAGGGGTGGAATATGAAACTGGAGGACTATTAGAAGAAAGGAAGATACCTTAAAGTGAGGTCAACTGGGACAAAACCAATAATGGAGAATCTGTCACAAGAAAGCAGAACGGGACCATTTGGGGAGGGAAGGGGGAAATAAAGGAGAGCAATGAGGAAGAATGAACAATAAGAACAAAGTATAACGGCATAGATATGAAAATACCACAATGAAATCCATCATTTTGTGTGTGCACTTCAAATTTTAAATAAGAAAAAGAACCAGGTCTTTACTCCTAAATGGCTTTAATGTATAAATTGTTTCCCAAAGAAAGAAAACATAGTTGGCTCGGAGAGTTTCTCTTTAGAATTTTCTGGGACCAAAGACAAACAGAATTATCACTATTATTATGACCTCTAGTGAAATAATGACCTAGGTTGGATGGTTAATCTCAACTTGATGCTATTTGAAATCATTTAGGACACAGACTTTTGGATATATCTATGTTTCTAGAAGACACAACCACCCTGAATGTGGGTGGAGCCATCCCATGGGCTGCGGTCCTGGAGTGAATGGACAGGAGAAGGCAAGCTGAGCACCAGCCTTGGGTTCTTTCTGCTTCCTGACTGCAGGTGCCACGTGACCAGCTCGCTACATATGCTGCGCCATCTTGCCTTCCACTCCATGATGGACTGGCTATACCTTCAAATCTTGAGCCAAAAACAATGCCTTCCTTCTTCGGGTTTCTTTGTGAGGTGTTTTATTTCTATGACAAGGAAAGTACACCAGACAAAGGCAATCAATAGATGCTGATAAGATGAAGAAGTGATAGCTAGAAATATTTAACTTCTGGTAAAAGTAGTCAAGGCTATAACCCTCCTCTCCCCGCCCACTAAGAAAATAACTCTGTCCAGTCTCCAAAACCAAGAACACAGAAGAAAATTAATTGTATCAGGTAGGATACAATAAGCAAAATAAAAGATGAAAATACTAAAGAAAAAAATAACTAGTTCCTTTTTAAAACAATGGAGGGGACCAGAGGTGGAAGGTAAATGGTCCCTGTTGCTGAAGACACCATACACTCTAGAAACAGAGCCCAGGGGCCCCAAGCTGGGACTGACCCGAAAGTCCCCTGCCTGAGGAATAGCATCCATGACACCAGAAGGACAATACAGGCTTCCAAAGAAGGGACACAACCAACAGTTGTGCCCAGATATGATGCCTATGAACCACATATATGACCAATAGGCCATGACAACCCAAAGGATGCAGTAGCAGCACACATACCTTGGCAGTAACCAACAGCTCTCTAATTCACTTAAGACCCACTCAACAAGAGAGAAGTCACACTTGGTACTGGAAACCTAGCCCACTACCCAGAAAGATGGCAGTCAAGGCTCTTAGAAGAGAACCACCTACAATCACCACAATCCTTAACTAAAGTATAAGTATTTGTACTTATAACCAAAGAGAAGTGTAGTCTTCACACCTTATCAAGGAACTTCTCTTTGTAAAAGATGGAGGACCACTATAGAAAACCACAACCAATCAAAATGCAGTTGTGGAGCCCAACTCCAGTGAACACATCTAGAAAACATTCCTGTACCTACAGCTCAAGGAAACACTGCAGAATAAAGGGCAAAAGGAGTGTTAAGAACCGCAAGATCAGGCTGGAGAGATGCTCAGCTGTTAAGAGCACTGACTGTTCTTCCAGAGGACCTAGGATCAATTTCCAGCACCCACGTGGCAGCTCACAACTGTCTCCAGTTCCAGGGGACTGACACCCTCACAGATATATATGCAGGCAAAACACCAATGCACATAAAATTTTAAAAAAGAACCAGAATCTTAACTAGTTTGTTGGGAGACTGTGTCTCCGAGTAACCTCAGAAGCTACATCCATAAAGCCCCACCAACATGACTGTCCAAATGCAAGCAGAACAAGGATGATACCAGTAGATATGCCAAACTGGACAGGGAAAACTCTACAGGCCTCACTCCTACACAAGGAATGGTAAGCAGCTGAGGAAAGTTAGGAGAAGTATTCTTCACAAGGGAAGGGCACCCAGTTGTCAAATGATCAGCTCTGAAAACATGCATACAAGTAACACTACACAGACTGGACAGGTTATATTCGAGAGAAATAGTGTATGTGTACATGTATGTATGTATGTATGTATGTATGTATGTATACGTATACGCATGCGCACGAGCACACACACACACACACACACACACACACACACACACACACACACACACACACACACAAAGTGAAAAGAGGCCATGAATTTGAAGTAGATGGGGACAGGTATATGAGGTGTATGAGAAAGTTTGGAGGGAGGAAAGGGAAGTGAAAAATAAGATTGTTATCTCAAAATGAAACTAGTAGCGGGGGAGGGACAGGAAGGAGACTTTCAAATAATAGAGGACTTTGAGACACACGTAATAGCTACAAAGTCACATAATAATACATTACTTATTTTTAAAACTTTGTAATTAAAAATCTTATCCCAAAGAAAACTCTAGCCAGGCAGTGGTGGCACACGCCTTTAATCCCAGTACTGGAGAGGCAGAGGCAGGCGGATCTCTGTGAATTCGAGACCAGTCTGGTCTACAAGAGCTAGTTCCAGGACAGCCTCCAAAGCCACAGAAAAACCCTGTCTGGAACCACCCCCCCAAAAAAATACCTTTAGGCCCAAGTGGTCATGTGTCATGTCTTGTGTGATCTCTACTAAGTGTTTGAGAAAGAAGAGTAGGCAGAGATACTTCTCGTTTTTAGAGGGTCCTGTATAATTTTTATTTGAAAACTCAACAGACATTAAAATACAAAAGTATAAGCCAGCCGGGCGGTGGTGGCGCACGCCTTTAATCCCAGCACTCGGGAGGCAGAGGCAGGCAAATCTCTGTGAGTTTGAGGCCAGGCTGGACCGACAGCCTCCAAAACAATACAGAGAAACCCTGTCTCGTAAAAAAAAAAAAAAAGTATAATCTAATATCCTGTACAAACAGACACAAAAATCCTTCATGTAATACTACCAAATTGAATTGAGCAGTATGTAAAATGGATAAGAGAAGTTTATCCCAGAAACATGATTGATCTGGGCTGGAGAGATGTCTCAGCCATTAAAGCCTAGGCTCACAACCAAAAATATAAGAGATACAATTGATTTGCCGTATGTAAAATAATTGCAACTTACCATAAAAAGAGATCATTTACTTTTATTTTATTTACTTGGTTATTTACATATATACTTGCTTATTTTTTGAGGCAGCCTGCCTGGATATCACAATTCTGTCCCTGCTCCCAAGTGCTGAGATGGCAGGCATATACCAGGTAGGAAAGAACAGGTTTTCAATAAACAGGGTTAAAAGCTGGACATGGAAAAATGAACCTGAGCTTCTATCACACATTACATATAAAATGAACTTAACGAAGAACAAACCTAGTCACAAAAGTTAAACCTACAAAATATCAGCAGGCAATATAGAAATTCTTTGTGACTTAGAAGAACTGAGAGCTGGGGAGCCGGGTGTTGGTGGCGCACGCCTTTAATCCCAGCACTCGGGAGGCAGAGGCAGGCGGATCTCTGTGAGTTCGAGGCCAGTCTGGTCTACAGAGCGAGTTCCAGGACAGGCTCCAAAGCTACAGAGAAACCCTGTCTCAAAAAGAAGGAGGAGAAGGAGGAGGAGGAGGAGGAGGACAAGAAGAACAAGAACAACAACAAGAAGAACAAGAAGAAAGAAGGAGGAGGAAGGAGGAGGAAGGAAGAAGAAGAACTGAGAAAAACCCTATATACTGACCTTCAACAAAGTTTACAGTGTCTACTGTCAGAACAGAATTTGAAGAAAACTATGAGAGAGAATATTCACAATATTAACTCATAAAGACTTTTACCAAGTGTTAATTACAAAACTGAGTAGGGAACCCAAAACTTAAAATGAGGAAATTTGAACATACACTTCTCCCAAAAGATAATGTCAAGGAAGCCCATGAAAATGGCACCAGGGCCTGAGATGCATGCCAGCTGGGAGTGTTTACTTAGCCTGGCTTCAGTGTCCAGCACCTCATAAACCAGGTGTGGTGGTCCACAACACCTATAATCCCCAAACTTGGGAGATGGAGAAGGGGAGATCAGTAGTTCAAGTTCAACTGTAACCACGAAGCAAGTTCAAAGTCAGTTCAGCCAGGATATGTCAAACACAGTGTTAAAGAAAAGGAAGGAAGGAAGGGAGATGAAAAGGGGAGAAGAATAGGGAGAGAGGGGGAGAGAGAGAGAGGGAGGGATGGAGGGAGGGAGGGAGGGAGGGAGGGAGGGAGGGAGGGAGGGAGGGAGGGAGGGAGGGGAAGGAGAGGGAGAGGGAAAGGGAGAGGGAAAGAAAGCCTCACATCACTAAGGAAATATATACTTAGAATGAAAACATTCATTAACCTGGGTAAAATGACAAAGATGGACAACACCAATACTGACAAAGATGTGGGAAAACAAACACTTTTCAGCGCTTGCTAGTAAAAAAAAAAAAAAAAAGGAAATTTTGGGAGATCTTTAAAAGCTTCATATAAGTTCCACATACAGCAAGAGTCGGCCTTTACCCTATGCATTTACCCAAAAGAAATTAACACATATGTCCATAAACAGAATGTGTCATGTGTACATAGCAGCTTTATTCATAGAAAAGCCAAACCCGAAACAATCTAAATGTTCATTACCAATAGTTAAACAAATTTGGTATATTCCTTCAACAGAACACTAAGGAAAAGAACAGAACATACTACTAACATATGAAAAAACATGGATCAATCTGAGCATGGAGAACTTCAAATACACTGTACTAAGCAAAATATGCCAGACATGAGAGTATATACCATACGATCTGTTTATTTATAATTCCATAAAAGAAAAATCTAATTTACAGTCACAAAGAGCAGATAAGTCATTGACTAGAGCAGGGTACTGGGGTAGAGGTGAACTAGAGTGCTTAAGACTTTTAGAGACTTTTTAGGTAGGCACAGGACTACTCACAATGGCAGAGACAGGTAAGTGGATATTCACACATTTGTCAAGAACTTTTCAAACTGCAAACTTAAAGTGGCTGCCTTTTCCTATATCTAAACTATAATTACTTAAAATTGGCAGAAGAGGGTAGAGGATACCATAACTCATTCCACATTCCTTCTTTCAACTTTGTGGTTGAAAGATGTAGACCTTTAAATAATATAAGCAAATTTCCTGTTGCCTTGTAACAAACATTATTTATTTTTAATAAAATCTCCACAACCTAAAAAAAAAGCCAAAATTAGGATTTTTAAATTCTGTTTTCACTAAATTTCACACTTACTGTGGAATATACTCAAATCTTTATTAGGGCTTAAGGGCTCCCTTGTGGCCTAACTACTTAAGAGGCAAGTTGGAGACATGGAGATTACACCAGATGACTGCATGTCATGACCAAGTAACACTGAACCCAGAACTAGAGAGGCCTCACCGAGCTGTGGGCAGTTCTGAACCTCAGGTCTCCCGTTCACTGCAAGATTCACAATACAGCTGGAAGGAGGCATGACCAACCCACAGAAAGGGGCCACCATGCCCAGTCCTGTTTCCTATGCGCCTTCTCTCCTTGGGAGGTGGAAGGGGATCCGGATTCCTTGACTAACGGATGTTCTAAGAAGCAGGATGAAAGAAATTCATCCCTGCCTAATCTGTTTTCCCAACAAAGTTAGTGCACATTTATCAGCTTTCCCACTGCTCTCCAAGTACAATACAGGGACCTCACACAAGATACTCACTGAGGTACTGTATACTAGCTAAAGGGCCATTGTAGTACACGACTTCAGATGTTACCCTCCTTCATTTCACTTTAACTTACATGGATAAAGAGGTCATTTACCGATGGTCATGTTTTATTACTGGTTTAAAAAGTCAGTTCCTGTATTCTAAAATGTCACCAATCATAAACCCCTTTGTTGGTTTAAAGTCATCTCAGAAAAACACACACACATACTGAAGATGATGATGGTGGTTCTTGTGTTAACTCCTAACTCATTCAGATACATGCTATGTTGTGAAACCACAGCCTAGAATGTCTATTACAGAGTGAATTTGTAAGGGTTTCTGACTGAAGGAAATTAAAGAGCTGATTAATAACACTCTTACTGCTGGGAGAAGGGAGCCAGCCTGTGAATCACTGCACAAAGCATGATCTGCAAACTGACGGGGCTGTGCTGTCCTGCTACAATCATGGAAACACCAGTTTTCTAAGACAACCCCTTTTAACTCCTCTTTAAGTTTTAGCCAAACAACAAGACCAATTTAAAATACTTGTGTGTTGCACTGTCACCATCCTATTTTGTTCACAGGCCCCAGCTGCAGTAGATATGAGCTCGGAAATGCCTCCCTTGTAACTTTTCAATTCTGTTTCATATTTAAGATGCAATATTTTACCAGCCAGGCATCTGCATTCTAGAGAGTAACATGAGTCTCAAGTTTTCAGGTACGGTCTCAATGCAGAATGCTCTGGTAAGTATCTATACCATGCAACCTTGAAACCAAAACAATACAAATCATATTTGATGTAATTTTAACACTAATACTGCTGTTTAGATCACTAAACATAAATATATCATTGTCACGAGTATCATTTTTCTCCAGATTCATAAAAATGTATTGTTCTAATTAACAAGCTTAGTAAACTTTTATATACCATTCCTCATAGCCGAGCAAAATAATGGATGTGGTTTTCTCTTCCTGCATGAAGTGTTAGCTAACGTACCTTTTGGGGTCTAGAGAAATGAGTTGTCTTTCTCCATAGTTCATTCTTTTTTCTCCACGTCTTCTGCCTATTTTGTACCTTATATCTGACTAATAAAGAGACTAGAATGACCCACTAAAGGCAAAACATTTGAAACAACAGGTTTACCAGTCTAGAAGCAGCGCACAGGCTATGTGGGGTCTTGCCTCTTTGAGGCTGAGACATAAATAAACTCCATGCCAAGAACAATCTCTGACAACTGTCTTTCAGTACCACAAGCAATGACTTCATTCAGATAAAAGGTTATGAAAAAAAGAAAAGAAAAATTAAATCAGAAGGAAGTGAGAAGACGTATTCCCAAACTAAAACAAGATCTTCCTAGAAATGGTTAGCATTTACTAAACAAGGCACATATGAGGAACCATGCAAATGTTTCATATATACTTTGACACAAAAAAAAATCTAAGTCTCAGAATCTAAGAGGAAAATCTCCAAAACACAGGGGGAAAACTATTTTTTCACAAATTACACAATAAACAGATACCCATATGTAATATACCAAATGTGACATATACACTCCTCTAGCCATCTAGCTAGCTAGCCTCAAATGTTTTAACTCATTCTAAAACTGGCCTCTCTATCCAAGGATTGATTTTTTGATGGTATAATTTAGGGGGGAAATAAAATACTTTTTAAGGCAACTGAAGATTTCTCCAACTCTGAAAGAAAAAAATGAATATTCCCCTAAAATACTTCTAAAAAATATCATCCTCAGAAAAATGCTGGCCATACTTATATATGCCAGCAGTTTTTGCTAAGATTGCATAACACAACATAAATAACTTTTATCTCTAATGGAAAAAAATTACATCAATAATAACTTCCTGAGTATCAGACAGAACAGGGCCTGACAGTTGTGTATGTTTGTACTACAGTATATACAATAAAAACAGTAATTCACGGCAATAATAGTATTGGTTTGTGGCTGTGGATGAGGATTTTTAATAAACCTTTTTCTTTTGTTGTTTTATAGTCTACCGTTTTTGTTTTCTTCCGAGGCAAGGGCTTGCTATAAGTCACCCAGGCTGGCCTTGAACTTCCCACTTTCCAGCCTTCACCTCTGCCAATGCTGAGATTACAGGCATTTGCTTCTTGCCCTGTCTGCTCACTCATGGAATTACATTACTCATCACAGTCCAGTTCCTTGACTGTCAGCCATATACTGACACTCTAATACCTCTGCCTTTTTACTTTTAAAGAGACATACTTTATACCCATTGGAAATTGCAACTATTTTTTCATTTCACTGAATAGTTCCAAAAAAGCTATTTAGAAAGACGTTTATAAACTGTTCACTGCAAAGTTACAAGCAAGAAGTACCAGCCAGCTGCAGTAGCTCATACTTTTATTCTCAGCAGTCTCAGACACGGAGGCAGGAAGACAGCCTTGAGGTCAGCCTAGGTTAAAAGTAAGACCTTCTCTCTCAAAAACAAAAACCTAAAAGGGAATAAATGTTTTCGGGGTTCTTCATACTTTCAAAAATAAGAAAAAGATAAATAGAACATTTAGCTCAGCAGTGGGGTGCTAGTGTAGTGTGCTGGGGGGCTCTAGGTACACCCTTCCCCTTGAAAGGAAAAAAGGAAAGAAACTGTTTTGACCAGGATAATGTAACAGTAGAATTTACTGACAATCTGGAAATACCATTCACCTTTACAAACGAATGAGGAGATAAGATAAAGAGGACTCAACCTTAACAATGGAATGAAACATCATCCTGACAGGTTAGTATTTGTAGGTAGCAAACACTGAAGAAGACAGTTACCACTTTTTAACTTTAAAGTCAAAACAGAAGCACAAATTGGAACAAAAAATTCAAAGAAATGTTCAGGATATACACATCTGCATGCATTTTTAGGCAAACTTTCAAATACTTTAAATATAACCAATTGAAACCTTTGAATCAAGATGAATGTCACAAATATATAAGCTTATACTAGTGAAGCAAGAGAAATGGGAGAGACAACAGCAGAATTCTAGGAGGAAAAGAAATCATATACTTCCTTTATCATAAAACAAAAGGCTGCAAGTCTACATTGTAATAACACTGCCAGTCAAAAGTTAATTAATGTTCAAGAACACACTTTCCAAATTGTATCTTTAAATGTAATTTGACAAAAGTCAAATTAAAGGCTCATCAGTCAAAACACATCACTTAAGATGCTCACCTTAAGTATAAATAGCTTAGAGAAGCACAGTCCAATCACTAAAGAATAATTCCACTACTTGATTTTTATATGCTTCATCTGAAAAAACTCCATTTACAAACACAAGTTTTGCCCTCCTCTGCCAAAGTGGATATCTTTTGTTGCATTAAGTAGCAACAAAAAAAACAAACAAAAAACAAAACAAAGAAAAACTAGATTCAAACATCTTTTCATTGTGTATGCTTCATCGGGCTTTGATAAAGACAGAGCCATCTGGGGTAGAAGAGCCCTCTTCCTTCTCATTTACTATCTCCACAGTTCCAGAAGCTGACACAATAACCATTGTTTTATTTGCAGACACAGACTTCTGTTTTTCTGCAACAGCGGCACAAACAGCAACAATCTCATCGCTTTCAAAGTCATAGTCAGGGATTGACTCTGGTGAGATGTCTGTTCCTTCCGGTGGAATTTCTTTTTTTTCAATCCTCTGTGCTACTTTCTGCTGTTCCTGGAGCTTTCTTGCCCAAGAAAGGTCCTCCTTCCATATTTCAGGGTTCATTGGATATATGTGGAGAGCTACTTGAAAACTTCGGATTGCCTGGGGGGAAAAGTTGTTTTCATGTGGCTTATTTCTAAAAATCACCATGTTAGGTACAATTACATAATACAAGTAAGTGTGGTTATATATGCAGTCATAAATATCTAGCATACTACTATAGTTAATTTCAACACAAAAGTCAGGCCATCTGTCTAGATAATTACGGTAGAGAAAAAAATTCACAGGTGTAAAGAGAAAAGACAGAAAATTCTGATGGACTAAAAGCCATTAAATTAGGGGCACTGGTACTAGGGTTAGAACATATTAAAAGAAACATACACTATGACCACATAAGACTTATCCCTCAGATGCTGATCACACAGTTCAACATGGACAATTGGTATAATAAAAGACAAAAATCATAGAATTTGTCCCAACAGGTGAAGAAAAATCATTTGGTGAAATTCAGTGTCTTTTTGTGATTAAAAAGCCTGGGAACACATGGAAATAAAAGCCATGCAACAGAACACCCACAACCAACATCACACTCAACAGTGAAAAATTGGGCAATGTCCTGCAAGATCAGAATAAGGCCAGGTCTTCCCCTTCCTTTCTTTCTTTTTCTTCCTTCCTTCCTTTCTTCCTTCCTTTCTTTCTTCCTTCCTTTCTGTCTTTTCTAGAGACTGTGATATAAAAACACCATTTCTCCCTCCCGTGTCCTCCCTCCAAATGTTCTCATATACTTCTTGCTATCTTTCAAATTCAAGGCCTCTTTTTACATTAAATGTTATTACATGGATACATATATGTATATATTCCTAAATATAACCTGCTCAGTCTGTATACTGTTACTTGCATATATGTTTTCAAGGCTGATCATTTGGTATTAAGACAACAAATTGGGCCAGGCAGTAGTGGCACACGCCTTTAATCCCAGCACTAGGGAGGCAGAGGCAGGTGGATCTCTGTGAGTTCGAGGCCAGGATGGTCCAACAGCCTCCAAAACAATACAGAGAAACCCTGTCTCATAAAACCAAAAAAAAAAAAAAAAAAAGACAACAAATTGGTATGCTCTTCCCATTTATATCCACAACTGAACTGTCAATTCTAGCCAAAAAATCAGGAAAGAAAAATATAACATCATCCAAATGGGGAATGGGGAGGGAGGAGTAAAATTATCCTCATTTTTGGATGACATAATCTTACATATAGAAAAACCTTATACACTCCACAAGATGCCTGTCAGAACTGCCAGTCACAGGGGGAGGTGCCTGAGTCCTAGCTTACTCAGGAAGGTGAAGCAGGAGGATGACTTGTACCAAGGAGGACAAGGCTATCCTGGACAAAATAGTGAATCTCAGTTAAAAAAAGAAAAAACAACAACAACAACAACAAAAAAGGATCTATGAAGACTAATGAACAAACTCTAAAAAGCTGCATTATATGAAATCAACATACAATGCTTGACTATGCCTCTACACACTGATAACTATGTGACAGAAACTTGGGAGGATGAACTCACATAGAACAGCAACTACTAAGGGGTAAAAGGCTTACACCCTGAAGCCCACAAAACATGGCTGAAGGAAATTAAAGACACAAACAAATAGGTCAACATCTCACGCTCGTGGGTTGAAAAACTTAATGCCAGTAAAATGCTTATACTCCTACAGCAAAACAACAGTTTCAATTTAATACCTGCTGTGGGAATAATCCCTTTGTATACTGTAAAGATGTACCACTTGAATTGGTTTAATAAAAAGTTTACTGTCCAGTAGCCAGGCAGGAAGTATAGGCAGGATAACCAAACTAAGGATGCTAGGATGAAGAAGAGTGAAATAGAGAAGGAGAAGGAGGAGGACATGTAGAAAATGGGGTAGCAAGTCATGAACATGGCAGATGGTAAACAAGAAATGCAGGTTAATTTAGGATGTAAGAATTAGCTGGTAACAAGTCTGAGCTATCAGATGAGCATTTATAAATAATATTAAGCCTCTGTATGGTTATCTGGGAACTGGTGAGTGGGAAAGAATGTCCACCAACAAATACTTATCTATATCCCAATAGCATTTTAATAGAAACAGAAATAAAATTCTAAAATTCATATGGCACTACAAAACACCTCACCAAGTCAATTTTGAGAAGGACAAAACCAGAACCATCATATTCCCTGATTTCCAAAATGTGTTACAAAGTTACTGTACACAAAACAGTAGTACATGGATGCAAAAATGCCAAATTATGCAAATATCTAGTGTAACAATTATCACAGTATTAAAACCACCAACTAAAATGAGACTGAGAAAATTGTGAAAGCATCAGGGGACTAAGACTTTTTAGGTAGGCAGTGTATATCACATACTGACACAAAACAATTCAGAAGGTGATAACGATGTATGTCACATCTGAAAAGGCAGACCCAAACTAATTTCAGCACTGATGGCTAAGGGTCACATAAGTAAACTAAACTACTGTTCATAAAGAGCTCCTACTTGTTTTCCTACTCTCTTTCCAACGTCTCCAATAAATCTTAACTATTTCTCAGTAATCTCATTCTCTTCTAGTTTTCTTCTTGCTGAGCCATTTCTTCAGTGTTCTTAACTCTTTCATCCCGTCACCCTAAACCAACAATCTCCTAACAAGCCTTTGCCTCTCTGCTCTTGTCCTCCTGCTTTTTTCACTCTCCCATTCCACTAGACATCTCTACTTCCTATAAGTATTTTCTAGACAGGGGAATTATTGATATGAAAGGTATATTGATATATTGATATGAAGAGGGAAATAAGGTAAAGGGGGGAGAGAAGAGGAAGAAGGGAGAAAAGCACTAAGGATATTTGGAAGAATGCCTTTGAGGAATTATTATGTACCTAAAGTTATAGACAAGGCATATTAGTGTATTTGTATACATATACATATACATATATGCTATAAACAATGTTACACCACTCAGGCTAATAATGCTCCCTGCATAGGTCATAAACTGTAAGAAAAACTCCAGTTGGAGGCACAAGAAACCACATTTCAAGGTGTTGGTCAGGGTAGTCCAAAACACTCCCAAAACGTCATAGGTTATTGATGTTGCCTTTGGTTGCCTTGAAGAGGTGGAAGGTTAAGTCCCTATTGCTAAAGAAATCATGCACTTCAGATACAGGACTCAGAAGATCTGAGTTAGATCTGACTCAAAAGTCTCCTCTAACACTCCTCCACTACTGGTGGGAGTGCAAACTCAACAGCCACTTTGGAAATCAGTATGGCAGTTCCTCAGGAAAATAAGAATCAGTCTACCTCAAGAACCAGCAATTCCACTCTTAAGCATACACCCAAAAGATGCATATTCATGCAACAAGTATGTCTATTCCACTGTATTCATAGCAGCATTATTTGTAATAGCCAGAACCTAGAAGTAACCTAGATGCCCCTCAACTGAAGAGTGAATAGAGAAAATGTGGTACATTCACACAATGGAGTACTACTCAGAGGAAAAAAAAAATGGAATTTTGAAATTCACAGGCAAATGGATGGCACTAGAAGAAACCATCCTGAGTAAGGTAACCCAGTCACAAAAAGACCAACATGGTATGTACTCACTCATATATGGATTTTAGACCTAGAGCAAAGGAGTAGCAGCCTACAGTCCACACCTTCAGAGAAGCTAGGAAACAGGAGGACCCCAAGAGAAACATACATGGTCCCTCGGAGAAGGACAAGATCTCCTGAGCTAATTGGGAGCATGGGGGGAGGGGAGAAGGAGTTAAGAGAAAGAGGAGGGGAGAAGAGGAGGGAAGAAGAAGACATGAGGGAGCAGGAAGATTGAGTCAGGGGAAGAATAGAGGAGAACAAGAAAAGAGATACCATAATAGAGGGAGTCATAAAGAGAAATCTGGTACTAGGGAAATGTCTAGAGATCTACAAGGATGATCCCAACTAAGAATCTAAAAAAAAAGTGGAGAGGCTACCTTAAATGCCCTTCACCAATAATGAGATTGATGACTACCTTATATGCCATCCTACAGCCTTCATCCAGTAGCTGATGGAAGCAGAAGCAGACACCCACAGCTAAACACTGAGCTGAACTCCTGGAATCCACTTGTAGAGAGGGAGGAGTGATGAGCAAAGGGGTCAAGACCAGGCTGGAGAAACCCACAGAAACAGCTGACCTGAACAAAGAGAAGCTCGTGGAGCCCAGACTGACAGCTGGAAAACAAGCATAGGACCGACCCAGAATCCCTGATTGTGGGTGTCAGTTAGGAGATCTGGTTGATCTATGGGGCCTCTGGCAGTGGATCAGTATTTATCCCTAGTACATGAATGGACTCTGGGAGCCTACTCTACACAGAGGGATACTCTCTGAGCCTAAACACATGGGGGAGGGCCTAGGCCCTGCTCCAAGTGATATGACAAACTTTGATGATTCCTCATAGAAGGCCTCATCCTTCCTAGGAAGCAGAAAGGGGATGAGATGGGGGTCAGTGGGGGACAGGGGATGAGGGGAGGGAGAGAGAACTAGGATTGACATGTAAATCAAGCTTGTTTCTAATTTAAACTAAAAACATCAGAAAAAAGTCTCCTTCCTGAGAATAAGTTTTCGTAGCACTGCAAGATATTAAGTAACTTGTCAAAGAGGGGAAGCAACCAAAAGTCCTATCTAGCTGCAATGCCTCTGAAACACAACAAGCACTAGCATATCAAAATATCCCTAAGGGCACAATAGTGGTACTCAGATCTTGGAAGTAACCAATAGCTATCTAATAGGATTTAAAGCCAGCTCAATGGGAAGGAAATGATGTACTGGAAACCTAGTCAACTTCCTGGAGCTAATGAGGTCATAGCTCTTAGAGGAGAGCCTTCTACTACTACTTTAATAAATCAACACAATTTATAACTGCACTTTAAATACTCTTATATCCACAGATAAGCATAGTTCCTACCATTCCTCAAAGAAACTTTGCAAGAGATGGAGACCATTACAGAAAACTACAATTGGTCAAAATGCATGGAATAACTGATCATGAGGTTCCTAGCCCCTATAGTCACAACACAACTTCTGAAACTAAGATCCAGGGTCATCAAGGAAGAGAGGGGCAAAAGACTAAGGGCCACAGGACTAAGAAATCTTCTGTGAGACTGTATTTTCTAGAAAAGCTTCACCCATTATACCTCAACAATATGGATACCTAAGCAAGAGCAAATACACCACCAATAGACATGGTAACAATGGAAGGGTTCAATCTCACAGGGGCTCACCACTAGAAAAAGAACTACAGGCAAATAAGAAATCCTGAAAGTGGTCAGGCGGTGATGGCGCACACCTTTAATCCCAGCACTCGGGAGGCAGAGGTAGGCAGATCTCTGTGAGTTCGAAGCTGGGCTGGACCGACAGCCTCCAAAACAATACAGAGAAACCCTGTCTTGTAAAACCAAAAAAAAAAAAAAAAAAAAAAAAAAAAAAAGTGAGAGAAATATTCATCCCAGGATGAACAACACCCTAACTGACTACTGCATACCAATTGGTCAGCCCTGAAATCACATCATGGAATTAACACTAAATGACCTGAGCAGGTTACAGTCATATACTTGTAAATTTGCATATAACACACACACACACACACACACACACACACACACATGCACACACGCACGCATGCACGCATGCACAGATACAGTAACAAAGATGAAGAGGTAATGACTTTGAGAAGGAGCAAGTAGAGGGATATAAGAGGGGTTGGAGAAAGAAAAAGAAAATGGCCAGGTGTTGGTGGCACACACCTTTAATACAGCATTTGAGAGGCAGAGGCAGGTGGATCTCTGTGAGTTTGAGGCCAGCCTGGTCTACAGAGCAAGTTCCAAGACAGCTTCCAAAACAATACAGAGAAACCCTGTCTCGAAAAACAAAAACAACAACAAAAAAAAAAATGAAAGAAATAAAAAAAGAAAAAGAAAATGATGTATTCACATTTTAATTTTTAAAATGTCAAAATAGAGTTTGAGACCAGCCTGGTCGACAAAGAGAGTTCCAGGACAGGTTCCAAAGCCACAGAGAAACCCTGTCTGAAAAAAAAAATGTCAAAATAGAAAAAGATGAAATACAAATTGCCATTAAACATGAAAAAATGTTCAGTCTCATTAGCTGTCAGAGAATACAAGTCAAAACCCAGTGAGATTCTTTCATGAAAACCATATTGGTTTTTAAGTGGAAAAAACAAACTAGAAATTGATCTATTATTTGACCCAGCTACAGCACTCCTGGGTATTTACTCAAAGGACACCAAGTAGACACATCACAGAGATACTTGCACATTGATATTTATACAGTACTATTCACAATAGCTAAGTAGGAAAAAACCCAGATGTCCAACAATATAGCAAGGAAAATGTGGTGTGTATACATATACAATGCATTTTTTAAGCTATACAGAATGAAGTTATATTGCTATAGGAAAAATAATATGACTGGAGATAGTCATATTAAGGGCATTAAGTCAGTCTCAGAAAGACAAACATCATATATTTTCTCTCACCCACTGTTAGTAGGTTTTATACAGTCACATAAAGTCATCTATGTATAAATTAAATGAAAATAAAAGTAAGTTTGCCTAGGGGATGAATGTAGACTAACAGGGTGGGGTAACGAGAAAAAAGAGGGTGGAGAGAATACAGGAAAACAAGATGAGGCAGTAAGGCGCATGCTCAATATACAACATGCACCCGGGAGAAACTTATTTTAAAATCAAAATATAATTAAATATGAGCATTATAATAATCAAATTCCTTTACCAGAACTATCTCTCCTAATCCAAGCTGAGCACGACCTAAAGTTTGCCAAGACTCCCATGAGTGTGGGTTACGCTTAACAGCCATTTCTGCTGCATGTACTGCTGGAAACATTTCATGAAGAGACATCAGGACCTATGTGCCAAAAAGAAGAAGAAACAAAACCTGCCATGAACATATGTAATATAAACTAGCAAACTACTGGTAGATGATCATATACAAACAATGATTTTCCTTTACAAAATATATTTTAATCTGGCACACAGCATTTTTGTGGATTTTACCCCTACTTTACATTCAGCATCAGAAATTCCAGACCTTTTTTCACTCCCCAAATAAATGAAAATATAAAGTATCTTAATATCAATCTGATCAAAACCAAATGATTGTGTTCCAGCCACAGCAGCTCAATGCTATCTGGAGTCCAGCTTTCACTGACAGTTACTCTATTTACAATGTTTTTAGGAAACACTCAAGTCTTGCTGTTAAAACCAGATAGATAAGCTTGTTCAACCAGTCATCCAGTCCCAAGTGCACATTTACCTGTTATGAAAACTAAACACCCTGGAGTCCTCACAACTGAGCTTTTTAAGCCACAAACCAGAAAGTTCACAAAACTGGAGAACTGAATGTCCATGGGAAACAGCTGGAGTTCATTTCTAACCTTTGAACACTTTGGAGCATTCTTGACACAAACACCATTCCTAGGTTCTAGCTTAAACTCTTCCTATAGTTGCCATGGATTTCCCCTTACTCTACACACATTCTAAGCCTGAATGTGAAGGATTCAGCTAAAAGGTCATACAGAACCATTTCAGTGCACCTAATTTACTTGGGTCCTTCCTCGATAAAAAAAATCAAAGTCATTAAAGCATGTGCCTTTCATTTCAGAGTACTATGTGAAAAACACTTGTTAATATCCAGCAATAATTTATTATTTGTCAAAACCTGTACTTAGTGTTGTTTTAGAGGCTGCTTTGGTATTTCAATTTTTAGACTTGCCCTATGAAGCTCAAGCTGTCCTGAACTCCCGACTCTCCTTGCCTTAGTCTCCCTAAATGCTGGGATTACAGCATGCTCCACCACACCCTGCTGTCTGAGACATTTAGTATTCCCTAGATAACTGGTTCAGATGGGCAGACACTGTACACAGTGTCGACACTAAGTATTAGAAATGCATATTTAATACAAATGCTAGTTTCTTAAGTGGTAATAAGTCACTTCTCCCCAACCTTTTGCTCAGATCTCTGCCATTTCTTTTCGTCTGGTCTGTTTGTCTCTTAGGCAGATGTGACTTGGGAACTCTATTTCCATCCATAAGCCTCACCTACTTACTGTTGGGTTGGCTTCACGAGAGAGACCTAGGGAAGTTTAAGGCTTTGCTCCTCAGTTTGGACAACAAGCCCCGTGGGGAATTCTTTCTATCCAGCTGATTCAGCTTACATACTTATTTCTAAGACTGGTGAGTGTAGAAAAAACTAGACGGCATGGAGACTCTGAAAGGGGATCCCAGAAGATGAATTGAAGGCATTTTAACAGTTTTACCCTTTAAACATCAAGATGTAAGAATACTTCAGTGGTGAGATTAGGTTCACTAAAGAGTCCAGCTTGCTATCAACCACAAAATAACAAGTTATACTATTTCCTACAACAAATGTTCTACTAACCTGTTCAAATAAGCCAAGGGGAAACCAGAAAAGGCATTTCTAGCTTTTCTTTAATACCTAAGAAACATCCTTTATCTTCCCTAGTTATCATGTCACAAACATTATTTTAAATGTTAACAAAAATCCTATAAAATGGAAGAAAGTAAGTATTGAAGATGTAGCCACACAGTCCTTTAGACAACGCTGGTCTCCTTCCAGGAGCAGCGTCTCTGTAGTTACAGCAACAGGAATCATCTTAGACCAAGTTTGTCATCCTCTGAATCCTGTTAGCATGTCTGGAGATCTTCCACTAAAGCAGAAGCCAGAAGTACCGGTCGTGCAGCAAGATGACCAGACTCTTAACAGATGTGACAGTCTCGTCAGCTTCCACCTTTTCTGCTTGAAGGCCTCAGAAATGGAGTGCTCAGGGTGTACCCACAGGTATCTTTTGCTGCCATGTAACTCACTGTTGAATTGTCTCTTAAGGCTTGACTCTTTCCATGCTTGCTGTCCATTCATATGAGCCTGTGACATACAGCCTGGGGAAGTTACCAGTAAGTGTGATATGACTACATATTCCGTCTTTATTTCCAAAATGTTTTTCCATAGTTTTGTAGAAATTTTGTCTTTTTCTCTAGTTTTTTTTTCTTTCTTCTTCATATTTTGGAAGTTCTACTCCCTTCCTCTTGAATAACTGACACTAAACTCCTTTGCTGAAATTCCTCTAGCTGTTAGACACAGCATTTATCAATGGGCTTTATTGTTTGTATCACTTCTAAACCATGCTTTTGGAGGTGTTCATGAAGGCCAAGTTAACTACAAAGTACTTGGTCTCACCTGTGACAAAACAGGTGTATTTCTGGTTTTCCTTTATTGTGGTACAGCAGTGCTGGAGAAATCATCTCATCCCCAGAGAACATGTGTATTATAGCAGCTCTGAAAGGTTCTTGCAACTTTGAGTCTTCAATGATTTCCAACTCATACTTTTCAAGAACTGTTCATAAAACTTTTCTGACTCTTATGCCAGTTCACTGAACAGTTCTTAGCAATCTTTGACCAAATTCTTTCTGATAACATTTAAGTTTTGCTTTGTTACAACTTACCACAGTTGTGTACTATCTCCCTATTTAGAGTCTGCCAGTCCTGTAAAGACAATCAGACACTCTGGGATTATTAATTCCTTGTAGGTAGACATGACAGAAATAGCATGCATACAATTTAATGTGATTCTTTTGTCTTCCCTGTTTTCAAATAGATGAAAAGGAACATGTCTTCGTACAACAATAAGTACTTAGAATTCCACAATGTGCTTCAACAGAAAAGAGCTTCACTGCCCAATGTGCTTCCCTGCCACTGCTCAAGCTCTTACAGACCTTTCCTCGTCCTTCACGAACAGTGTCATCAAGGTTTCTGGTACAAGTGGGATTTACTTGGTCGACTGCTTCTTAATCCATGTGTCTTTCCTTAATCATCTTTTTCTTGTCACTATCCTCCTACACCTCCCTGCTCCTCACTCCCTCTGGCTTCTCCATCCCCGCCCCTTCTGAATGAATGAATGAACAACTTCTATTTAAGATTTGTCACCAGGCTTCTTCTCTTCCTTGTCTTCCGTCTCATGATCACTGACTTCTTTATCACCCTCCCCCAATGGGTTAGCCACAACTGAGAATGCTTCTTCATAGTCTCTTTATTATCCTGTCCTCTGAGTACTCAATTTGGTCTTTCACAGATAGGTTAGCCTTTGCTGCATGGCTTATAGGTCCCCTGCAGCAGGCAGTCTTCACTGTGACTGATCACTCTGCTAAAGATTCCCAGGCATTTGGATAGACTTAGTAGACTTCCTAGGGAAGGCCTTATCCTTTCTGTGGAGCAGATGGGAGAAAAGAGGGAGTGGAGGGAGAGATTGGAAATGGGATTGGAATGCAAAAAAAAAAAAAAAAGATTCCCAGGCATGCTGCTCACCATTCTTATGCTTGGTGATCAGGTCACTTTCTCAGCAATGAAACATACAGTAAAACCCAACACCAAACCGGCCAATCACAAAAGTATCTGCACAAGCCTACAAAGCCCCCACAAAGGTTTCAGTGCCAAACGTGGCAACAGTACCAAAGCTGTTAACCCTGGTGAGAGTTTGATCCTATTTGCTAGGAATAAGAATTAATAAGCAACTCCTTCCCACAGTCTTGCTTACTGGGATCTGTTATGCTCACAAACTTCTGATAAATTTGGAATGAAACCTCAAAAACGATCTCTTATTAATCAAGTGACATTAACTGGGCAATTTGTACATGAAAGGCAGTTTCAACCTCTTCCTCTTCAATTGGTCAGGCTTAGGTCTGGGTTTCCTCAAGCATCTTCACTGAGTGATTAGAACACGCTCCACTAGGAGCAGCTCTGGGTTTGCTGGAGAAATGGACCCATTACATATATATATATATATATATATATATATATATATATATATATATATACACACACACACACACACACATATATATGGAATACACTCACACACACACACACACATATTCCAAGAACCAATGCATCCTCATTTTGAAGAAAAATGAGCTACTGGTAAACAACTTATAAGCAAAGTGGAAACTTTTCATCTACTTAAAAAATGTACTACCAATTTTATCCATATGTTATATCTTCTCAAAGCTAGGTTCAAGTAACACTTGACTTCATTGCAAAAGCAAATGCATTTCTAATTTTATACATAAAATGAAATGAGAGCGGTCATATTCGTTCATCACAGCTCACTGAGTAAACACGGCATATTCATAGTGAAAATCAAATTCCTTATAACTGTACCTGTGATTTCATCTCATAAAGGGTGGCATCATCTGGGGTGAGCTGCAATGCTTCATCCCACTTCTGAATTGCCTCCTGGTATCTGCAATTGCAAAGTTACATTAATATCAGACTTTACATTAATATCCCACTTCTCAATTGCCTCCTGGTATCTGCAATTGCAAAGTTACATTAATATCAGACTTTACATTAATATCCCACTTCTGAATTGCCTCCTGGTATCTGTAACTGTAATTGTAAAGTTACATATTATTATCAGACTTTGCCAAACCTTTGAGAGTTAAACTTGGAAATTGGAAACTTGAAAATAGTTACTAAGAAAATTTCCTATTTAGAAATTGATAATACTATTATAAAAGCCTAGGCAAATTAAAGAAATGAAAGGAAAAACAACAACAGAGAAAAGGACAAAATATAAATATGATCTTACAAATCTCTTTCTAAGACTTTGGAGCCCAGGCTAGCAAGATGGCTCAGGGGGTAAAACCTAAGCCCGGAGTCCAATCCCTGTATCCTACATAATGATAAAAGAAGAAAACTAACTCTATAAGCTTGTCCTCTGACCTACACAACACTGTATGAAGGTCATTTTCCAAAGCCAATGTCTCTTTTACTTCCCATTCTACATTCTGGCTGAATAAACAACAGGCAGTTCTTACAACATAGCAGATGTCATTTATGGGAATTCATGGAGGTATTTTCTTTTCTTTTTTTTTTTTTCTCCACTTAAGATTTTATTGATTTCAAGATTTCAGATGAACTGGTCACACTTGGTAGTATCCAGGCATCTTTACTGGCCTGTCCTTGGGTTCTGACAGGATATGCCCTCCGTTGCAGCCACTAAGAGCACCACCTGTGCACATTCACTATGTTCCCTTTTAAAAGGGCCCTGCCAACCTCCCACCCCACCCCCTTTTTCTCTCCTTCTCTTCCTCTTGTGGCGATATCTTGCTTATACAAATAATGTCTGTCTGAAAGTCAGAGAATGGAGCTTGCCACTATCCAACCATAGCGATCTGGGGGATGGGGCATCTGTACAAACAGACAGGAAGTGTGGTAGCTGGGGAAACAGGATATAAGCAGGGAGAAACAGGAACTGGCTCACTTGTCTGCTGAGACACTAATGAAGTAAGGTGTGGTAGTGCCTTGCACCTTCTTTCCTCTGGTCTCTCAGCATTTCTTGGAGGCATTTTCAACAGTCACTATGAGTTTAAGGAATTAGTGGCATGGGCTACACAGTCAAGGATGTTAAGAGCCTGTAAGGAAAACATCAACCCTGAACTACAAAGGGTTGTCCTGCCCAAAGTGTCACTGACCCTACTGCAGAGAAGGAAGATAGCTTACCATCTAAGAAAGCTGTCCATAAACAAAGAGCAAGGTTAATTAAGAAGTTCAAGAGAGTATTTGGTGTTTTGGAGACTAGCTTCTTCAATTCTTCTACAAAGAATAAGTCTGGAGATCAACCCTCTGTCAGATGTGGAATTGGTGAATCTTTTCCCAATCTGTGGACTACTGTTTTGTCTTGTTGACTGTGTCCTTTGCCTTACAGAAGCTTCTCAGTTTCAGCAAGTCTCCAAAACACCAAATAACCCAATTAAAAAATGGGATAAAAAGTTGGGCAGTGGTGGTCCACGCCTTTAATCCCAGCACTTGGGGGGCACAGGAAGGCAGATCTCTGTGAAGAGACCAGCCTGATCTACAAGAGCTAGTTCCAGGACAGCCTCCAAAGCCACAGAGAAAACCCTGTCTCAAAAAAAAGAAAAAAAAAAGAAAAAAGAAAAAGAAAAGAAAGAAAAAAAAGGGGGTACAGAACTAAATAGAGAGAATTCTCAATAGAGGAATCTAAAATGGCTGAGAGACACTTAAGAAAGTGCTCAACATCCTTAGTCATCAGGGAAACACAAATCAAAACAACTCTGAGATACCATCTTACTCCTGTCAGAATGGCTAAAATAAAAAACACCAATGACAGTTTATGCTGGAGAGGATGTGGAGAAAGGGTAACACTCCTTCACTGTTGGTGGGAGTGCCAACTTGTACAGTCATTTTGGAAATCAGTATGGAAATTCCTCAGGAAAATGGGAATCAGTCTACCACAAGATCCAACAATTCCACTCTTAAGCATATACCCAAAAGATCTGTTCAACTGTGTTCATAGCAGCATTATTTGTAATAGCCAAAACCTGGAAGCAACCTAGATGTCCCTCAACTGAAGAGTGGATAGAGAAAATGTGGTACCTTTACACAATGGAGTACTACTCAGAGGAAAAAAAAAGCAATGGAATCTTGAAATTTGCAGGCAAATGGATGACACTAGAAGAAACCATCCTGAGTGAGGTAACCCAGTCACAAGAAGATAAACATGGTATGTACTCACTCATATATGGATTTTAGACATGGAGCATGAGATTGCCAGCCTATAATCCCACCGCCAGAGAGTCTGGGAAACAGGGAGGAACCTAAGAGAGATATGCATGGTACCCCGGAGAAAGGGAATGGGATAGGATCTCCTGAGCAGATTGGGAGCATGGGGAGAGGGGAGATGGAGCTAGGAGAAAGAGAGGGGGAGAAGAGGAGGGGAGCGGAGGACATGGGGGAACAGGACGGTTGAATCAGGGGAAGAATAGAGGAAAGCAGGATGAGAAATACCATAATAGAGAGAGCCATTATAGGTTTGAGGAGACATCTGGAACTAGTGAGATTTCCAGAGATCTACAGGATGACACCAACTGGCAATCTAAACAATAGTGGAGAGACTACCTTAAATGCCCTTCCCCGATAATGAGATTGATGATTACCTTACATGCCATCCTAGATCCTTCATCTAGTGGGTGAAGGGAGCAGAGGCAGACACCCACAGCTAAACACTGAACAGAACTCTGGAATCCAGTTGCAGAGAGGGAGGAGTGATGAGCAAAGGGGTCAAGACCAGGCTGGTGACACCCACAGAAACAGCCAACCTGAACAAGTGAGAGCTCATGGACCCCAGACTGATGGCTTAGAGATCAGCATGGGATTGATCCAGACCCATGAATGTGGGTGTCATGATGCGACCGCAGCACTCTATGGGGCCTCAGGTAGTCGATCAGTATTTATCCCTGGCATACAAATGGACTTGGGGAGCCCACTCCACATGGAGTAGTGCTCTCTCATCCTGGACACATGAGGGAGGGGGCCTAGACCTTGCCCCAGATGATATGACATACTCTGGAGATTCCCCATGGGGAGGGGAGGGGGGGACATAGGATGGGAGGTTGATGGGGGGGTGTGGGAGGAGGGGAGGGTGAGGGAGCTGGGATTGACATGTGAAGCAAACTTGTTTCTAAATTTAAAAAAGGAAAAGAAAAAAAAAGAAATTCAAGAGAATACTAGCCACAGCTCCTACTTACTCTCTGCACTACGAAGATATGCATGCAGGTATGAACACAGAGACATGCACATGTGCAAACACACCTCCCACAGATTTGTTTGGAATATAAAAGGCAAAAAGAAAAGCATGTCTTCTCACCCAGAACTTTTGTTTTGAAATACAATCAATCCTTCCAGCTGAGGTCTTTCTTGCCTAAATACACAAACATTTAAAGAGCAAATGAGCTAGCTCCCAGTGGCTATGGTGAAGCAAACAATGGAGAGCAATTCACCCAGACACATCTCTGGGCTCCCTCTCCCTCTCCTCTCCCACTCTGCTTCATTTCCTTGCCCTACAGGTAAACGGTGGTACCACTTAGTTCCTCCATTTGGGAATCATAGGAAACTTGGCACTTAATAAGTCAATCAATGGTCTCTCCCAACTCCTGTGGCCTATCTCCTAATTCAACTTCAGTCTGGAACAAACTGAAAAGACAGCCCTGTTGCAGCTGTTGGAGAGGAAATACTAAAAGATAAAAACTTGGTTTAAAGCCACTGTGGTTAATAAATGACCAAATTCTGATTCAGCCAGTTTAAAGGCAGCCTTAACAGCATGGAACTAAACTAGCACAAGGAAGGAAGCAAAGTGAATAGCTCAGGGATTACACAGGGCAGGGTGAGATAATGCCCTACAATGAAGCAAAGAACAGCTGGTGAGCAAGCCAAGTAAGTTAGATAGCATGCACACTCACCAGATGGAAATGTCTCAGTGCTTAGTTACTTTGCTCTCAATGACATTTCTAATTCACTACTGCTCAAATCTAATGAGCGATTTAGTTAATGGAATATTTGATAAATGTTTATAGGTCACTTTCTTTGGGTGAGGTAGCAATCTAGAAACTAAGAATGCTGCATTCAACAAGTTTCTACTATTCTAGAACTTTTTAAAGTACTATATGGGTAGGAGACATGGAGAGAAAGACAAGGTTCAAATGTAAATTTGATTTTAAAATGATTTAAAGAAGAAGGATGTAACAGGAAATAATCAAGTGTCTTCTCACAATGGGACAATGAATGAGCAAGAGATTCTTCTTAGGAATGCATATGAGCTGAGACCTGAAATGACAAGAGAGGACAACCATTTGAAAATTTGGAGCAACTCCTTTCCAAACAAAGACGAGTTCACAGCAGGAATAAGCATTCCATGCTCAGAGGACAGAAAGTCAAACCAGAATGGTTATAGTATAAGGCAAAGAAATGTGATATTAGAGAAGTAGGCCAAGCCACAGTCACAGAAAAACCTAACAATCTATGGCTAGAAGTGGTTGGTGATTTAATGTACTTGTGAAGAATGCATAGGCTTTAGTCATGGTCACAGAAAACCCCTATGGTTAGAAGTGTTGACTTAATGTAGGTGTGATGGAGAATCCATTGGCCTTATCAACACTGACAGTTTACACTTTTAAAAAATGTCAAAATCAAGGGAGAGGAACAAACTGTCAGGTTAAAAAACTGTGCACAAGGAGACAAATACAAGTTTATTAAGAAATTCAAGAACAAGATAACTATCAAATAGCTCAGGATAACTGAAATGAAAACGGAAAGTGGATAAAAGAGCATATATGATAAAGGAAACTCACTAGGGATGGGCATTAGGAGTGAAGGCAAGGAAGGAATCTGGAATGACGTCCCTCTGGTGCCTAAGGTCAAAGCTTGCTGGCTAAGTTAACTGCT